AACAGCAGCAGGCAGCCAGCGTCGCTTAGAGCCTGCAGCCAGGTTCTGTCTTGTGCTAAAAAAACCCCTTCTGATGGTGTTACCATCAACCTCTAAGGAGGTTTCTCCTCCCACTCACAGCTACAACTATTTCTGTGCAAGACACAGCTTAGACCGTGCACCACCATGTACCTGCCAGATCTCACCAGTTTCTTTCCTGTCTGTGTAGGAGATGTCCCAGTTTGGGGTCACGTAATAGGGGGGGAGAGGAGGAGGAGACCCCCAGCTAGGACCGGGGCTATTTGGAGTGTGGGATGTCCAGAACACCCCAGTGACCTCTCATTTCCTAGCCCTCACATACAAGGTGCAGCCCAGCAAGGCTCGGTCAGCAGCAAACGGACCAGGTGCAGGGCTGCAAAGAGACTCGGAAAGCCCTCAGCTGTCAGTGCTGAGAAATCTTGTGTTCGCTTGCTGCTGTTTCTGCCAAGACATTATCTCGGGCTCTGCGGGGCTGCAGCGTTGGACACTGTATGCACTGCTTCATCCCCACATGCTGCAGCTCCTGCAGGTCCAGCACGCAGCAGGGCAAAGCCAGGCCGTGTCACAGCATCTCTGCAGAGGGGCATTAAACAGATGTGGAGGTCTTGGGTTCCTCCAAAGCAGGAACGAGCCACAGCCCCCCAAATCCTGCATGAGAGCCTCAGCAAACCAACCCAGTAGCAGTTGGAGTCCCAGAATCAGTCGCGAGACTGCATAGTGCCATCTCCCACTGCTTTAGGACCTGTTTTTCCTGAGCTCCAGGAAACCTCTGCCTGGTTTCAGGAACAGCTACAGAGCATGCCGCTGTTGGTCTGATGTATTCCTGGGTGTCTCTCCACTCCTGCTGCTCATGTATATTCAGAACCACATTGCAGATGGTTCCCTGCAAATCCACATCATCTTCTGGCTTCAGCCTTTCTTTGAGTGTAAAAAGCTAACTGCAGCGCAGGTCCATGGATTACTTACGTAATGCTGAGCAACCCTACAATAACAAAGCAGCACGCAGTCAGTGGTGTTTATCTAGAATGTTTTTTTTGGGGTTTTCCAGTATGGCATTGTTCTGGATGCTGGCCCATCCCGCACCATCCTGTTCATCTACCAGTGGACCACCAGCAAGGGAAACAAGACCGGGGTGATCAGGGAATGCAGCTCCTGTCCTGTGCAAGGTAAGGGGCCCGATTCATGCTGGGTGTGTGGGACTGCCATGGGATGGCTGGAAACTCAGATCTGTGCATGGACCATTGCTGCAACTTCCTTGGCCCCCCTATCATCTAGCTGTACACTGATATAGTGGCGATAGGGGAGCAGAAGCTGCTCATTTTCAGCTCTTCTCAACACGGGCAGATTTAGCCACACACAGCTGGACAAGAGCACTTGGCAGAAGCGGGTGACAGAGGGGATGGGGCTGGTCCTGACATCCACATGGATCCAAAGTTGCTGAGCTTCTCACCCAGGCAAGACAGTGAACAGCAATGGAGACAAAAGCAGCTGCAGGGTGACTCCTGGTATCTCCTGCCTCCTCCCAACTGTCCTCTGGCCAAGAGGTGCAAAGACTCCAGCCCCCTACGTGGGGTTTGCCAGCACAAGCAGGAGTTCAGCTGGTTTTTGGTGTCACATTTTGGAGAATATTGGGGTGTTCCTTACTAGTTTGAATCAGCTTGGCCCTGCCCAAGCCAGCTGAAAGGGTTTAATACATTAACGCTTAGGGTTTTCCTTCCCTATCTCTCCATCTTGCTTTGATGTTGAAGCCTGATTGTAGCAGGATGCTGGGAAACCCTGAACTCTCAGTAGCATTGTGCTGTGGGAGGGCAGCTGTGCAACAAGCAGGAAAGAGGCTTTGTGCCCTCGCAGACTGTCAGCAACACAAACCACTTTCACAAGATGCAATAAGGGCTCCCTGAAACCTTGTACGTGTCCCTTGCTCACCGCCACATTCACTGGCTGGGGTAAAACCAGCAGCTCTAGCTTGGTGCAGCAGTTTGTCAGCAGCAGCAACAGGAGATCCAGGCAGGTCTCTTGCTCCGCTGTGGGCAGCAGTCCTCTGTCTGCAGAACAGGGTGGTCCCAGCCCTCGAGTGGCTGTAGGCAAGCTGCAGCCCAGCCCTGCGTAGGGCACAGGAGAGCAGAGCACAGGGTGAGAGAGTCACAGCCAGGAAAACAAGTGGGCCAGAGGATAGGGAAGCGGGGCTCGCTCTGGGGAGTAGTTCAAAGTCAGCATTTCAGACCCCATCGAATCTTGCTGGAAAGATGAGTCAAGGCTTGCACACAGCTCCTCTCCGCACAGCACCAGCTTCCTCCAGAGCAGCCGTGTCTCGCTTTGCAGGCACAGGGCTCGGAAGCCACTCCGCCAACACAAGAGGAAGTGGCTGGAGGGGAGAGGTGATGCATCAGTCTCTGCTCTGTCTGCATGGCACTGTGTCTTTTGGCTTATCTGTTAGAGCAGATAAAGCCACATTTCTTCCTCCATGGGCTGAGCCAGCCTCAGCGGTTGCAGCAGTCACGTGGCTGGTACATGGTCATTTACAGGATGTCTCAGGAGCAGAGCGAGGGTTCTCTTAGTGCGATTTGGGATTTACATGCACACGTGTTTTGCTCCCAGTACCATATTTGAGCAGGATGGAAGGAACTGGAGGAACTCCTGCATTCCACCTGTGACAGGTCCTGTCCATACCCTAGGGCAGCAGCCTCCTGGCTAACAGCTCTCGTACTTCTCCCACACCCTTCCTTAGAAAATGTCATTGTTTCCCCCGTCCTCAGGTCTGGGAGTCTCCAGATACTCAGATTCTCCTCAGAGCATAGGGAAGAGCTTGGAGCCATGTTTGAACTGGGCCCAGAAAGAGATCCCAGCAGAGGAGCACAGCCAGACCCCGCTCTACTTGGGAGCAACCACCAGCACCAGACAGACAAAGTGAGTGAACACTGCAAACCCACACCCGTCCCGCAGATCATTCTGTAAATGCCTCTCACCCTTTCTGCTCTGCAGTGTTTCACCCCCAAGCTGCTAGGCAGGTGAACCTTCTCCAGGTCCCGGCGTATCCCAGGGGAGCACGGCATGGCTGTGTCTCCATGCTGTCCCCCCAGGCAGCCGTGAGGATGAAAGCCTTGCTACTGCTACCAGGCTGTGTGAAGTCTCCTTCCCAATTAGGGCTTCCCAATTAGTGCCTGGGAGAACTTCTGTCTGCCTGGAAGTTTATGTGACAACCCCCATGGGTGTGCAGGGTTTTTTGCTATGGTGGGAAGATGCCTCTTATCACAGACACTTTTGTGGACCCTGTTCTCAGCCACCTCATTACTGGGACCTTTATGTGCTTTTAGACACTGGGGAAAAGTAAGGTCTGGAGGGGACAGGTCAGTGGGGCAAGGCCACAGGATCCTTCGGTGGCAGAGGGTACGAAACTCCTAAATTCTTGAGTGGGGGCATAAATGCTCAAATCATCCCTCTGGTGTTCTCACCACCAGTGTTGTACAAGAGGGAAGGAGCAGCGGGAGTGGGATTGTCACTGTGTCTCTGTGCTACTACTCCTGCAGCAAGCCCTGCAGGGGGTCCTGGCAGGGTCCTGTAATAACCAACATGCCTTCTTTTTCTTTTCTGTTTAGCCTCACCCATCCCACCCTCTCTGACAGCCTCCTTGCAGCCCTGACTGTGGCCCTGAAGTCATCCCCCTTTGACTTCCAGGGGGCACAAATCCTGTCCAGTCCAGACAAGGAAGTATTCAATTGGGTTGCTGTTAATTATGTCCTGGAGAACTTCTTCAAGGTAAGGGACAATCCTGCCTGGGGAGCACAGAACTGAGCTGAGCAATGCCCATTAGCAAACAGCCACAGAAACAGAGATCATTAAAGCTCCACACTTCAAACAATGCCTAAAAGCACAGCTTCCACTGCCTTGCAGAGGAGGTGATGATATCCAGCACCAGCTGGCTGGGGGGACATAATGTGAGATGGTTTAAACTGGATGGAAGGACCAAACCTCTATTACAGCCTTTCATGGACATGTTCATGCAGTTGCCCTGACAGATGTGAGCCTTTCTGGACAGCACAGCCAGGACGCTCACGTAGGTAACTCCACATAGCCCGGCCCTGGGCTGTCAACAAGAACTCTGCTGCCCTGAGTCCCTGCGGCTCCAGCTCAGCACCACTGTCAAAGAGGCATTGCTGCTGTCTGTGGGGTGCCGTGGGATTGCCACTGGAGTCCAGCTGGGACATCCTGTGGATGGTGGACAGAGAAGCAGAGTCTTTTGCTGCCAAAGCAAAAGCCCATCAATTTTCCTCACTGGGATGCTAGTGAGTGTAGCTGGGTGTCCCCAGCACAGGATCCTGGTCTGTGTTCAAAAGGCACTCGGTAAACAAAAATAATACATTTAAGCTTCCTTGCTCTACCCATGGGTACTCAAGCCAAAGGGCCTCAAGCAGAACTCCAAGTGCAGGAGAAAGGTGGCTCAGACAGCAGCAGCTGAGTTGCTCCACAGCAGGGAAGTGAAAGGCAATTCCGACAGCCAGCAGCAAGCGTTCACTGGTTGGGGAATTGCAGCAACATAGCTTTCCCCAGCCAGGGACAGAGCACTCACACCCAGTCAGCACAAACCTTCCTGCCTGTACTGCTGCCTTCAGCACTGCCAAAAATCACTTCTGCAAGACACCAGGAGATGAAACCCCAGGGTTCTTCTGACAGGAGGGTCACTTCAGCATCAAGGCAACACTCAAAGCCCATATCTGCCCATCTGGAAACCTCCTTCCCATTCCCCACCACCACCATCCCCTCCTCTCTCCCCTGCACTACCTGCTGAGGCCACTGCCTTGAGCAGCCATCCAGGACGGTGAGCCCAGTTTGCTCTCGCTGGCTGCGGGGAGTTCTCTGTACAGATGGCAGTGCTTGTCCAATGGCTCCTCTGTTCCCTCCAAAGCCACCAGTTCAGCATT